GACGACGACGACGACGAGGAGGAGGACGCGATGATCGTCTACTGAGAAGTGTTGCAACTCATCCTCCGAATCGGGAACCGCAAAAGAGTATCACGAGGCTCGAAGGGAGAAACAGCGGAGAGAGACGAGGATAGAGATCAGCGGCTGGGACAATTAATAAATTGTCTACCCATAGGAGGACGCGATTGCGACGCAGTGCGGTCGTCGTATTTCTGCCAGGAATGGCGAACGCGGTCGTCGTGAGTCATTGTCGCATCGGCCGGGCAAATGGAAAGAGAAAAGTATCGGCGGATGCGGACAGCGCGCTGGCACAGACGCGTCGTATCGCGTTATGAAATACGGGTTTCGCGGTCGTAGGATGGATACTACGAGCCCCGCACACACGACTGCGCATTGTCGTCTCGTTAATTCGTCGTTCTGGAACATTGCGTTTCAACTTGGAGATGTATCGACGCCCATAGCGGAGTCGACGTCTCGCGGCGAGCTTGAGTAGCCGCTGAGGCACGACTTTCTGGTTTCTCTCTGTGAAGAATATATATAATTATACGATTATACAATTCGACGTTTGTTCGAAAGCGTTGCAGCTCGCATAAAATCCAATTGACTTCTATTCTCCTTTAATATGAAATTTTATTCTACCGCCGATTCGGAGTTTCAGTTCAGAAAAATATCGCCAGAAGTTCGATTCTTTCATTCACATTTATGGTGAAGTTTGCTCCTCGTCGACGAATTCACACCGTCGAGTTCGGTGTTTCAACACATGTTGAAAGGAAAATTCGCTTAATCGTTGACAAAATTGATCTTCTAATTATTGCGACAGTTGACGAATGTTTCGTTAGACGCGGCGAGTAATTCGGTCAGTGAACCAGCGCCAGTTCGATGTTCGCGGTACGAGATCTTAGCAAGAGGACTCAAGGAGAAAGCAAAAGGGTCTCGGGTGCTTAATAAGTTTGTTAAAGCGTGTGCAGTCTGAGGTTGAGTTCGTCGAACCGGTCGTCTCGTAAAATAGTCGTCTCGTTTTGTGTATGTATCGAGAGTCGCTGGAGGGCCCCGAGAGCCGTGAAAATAAACGTCTCTTCTGTGGCAGACCAAGGAGCAGACCAAGCAGACCAAGCCTGCGAAACCGCAAGTTTTCGCCTGGATATTTATGAAGAACCGCGATCCGCTACGATGGAGAAACAGGCGACGTCGTTTATGGTCGAGGAGGTCGACAGACGTTTGGCAGGTCTGCTTTCTCAGCCGCGCAAAGAAGCAAGCTCTCCTTTCGGGGCTTCACCGTTCGTTCCTTGTCCCTCCGATCCTGGCTTTCTGCTTCCCGATCGACGCGTAGCTGTTTAAACTCCATCTACGGCGGCCGTCTCCTCTGGAACAATCGTTCGAAGTACCGGACACTGTCTGTGCTTTGCTCTCGCGATGGGCAGAAGAAATTCCTCTACATTTTACTAAACGCAGACGGTGCGATTTAGAAACTTGATGCATAGTTGACAGATCAAAGTGCAGCAACAATTCTTTTTCTCCATTGTGTGGATTATTACTTTGCAAGAACCCTCGTATCCCTTATCTTTGCGAATATATATTCTTTTTAATAAAAATACCAGATTCCTCGGTCCTTGGATAGTTCGTATGAAAATTTTTAATATCCAAATTCCGGACTCGCTGCAGTCCACGAATTCCATTCGAATTCCATTCCAAATATATTTGTGTCTGATTAATTGAATATTTGAATACCACGATAAATACGATAAAAGTTTAAATTTAACTTTTCGCAACCACTCTGGAATTAACCCAAAGCATCGACGATTGATTCCATTAAGGGACGTCTGCGTTATGCGAGGAATGAGAACGAAATCACGAGAAACAGAAGATTCTTACCTAAAAAAAAAAAAAAAAAAAAAAAAAACAAATACAGGGAGAGAGAAAGAGAGAAGATTCCTATTTCTGGGATTCCGGCCGCCCTCTGACATAATTATAAATATAGAACAGACGAGACGCGCTAAATCAGCCGCCACGAGACTCCAACACCCCTTCTTCGTCTTCTTCTCGTTTTCATTCGCGGTTCGCTTTTGTTTCCCCTTCTGCGCTTCTGCAACTGCATTTTCTTTCCGCTGGCAATTTTTCCATCGCCGGCGGAGCCTTCGTGGAAGCAGAGCGCGCCGCTCGGATACGGAAGTCATTCGAAGTAGAAGCAAGAGCACAAAAGCAGCTCGTAAAGCCATCGCGCAATTTTCCTCGACGAGCTCGCGTTTCCGACGTCCTTTCCGGGCTATCCTAGACCGAGAGGCCGGTGTTCCCCTTGCTTCTAACCGCGCTATTATTTCGGAAAAAAGAGCCCATCTCCCTTTTTTTTTTTTTTTTTTTGTTTCCTTCTTTCTTTCTTTCTCAAAAATTCTCCTCATCGACGAAGTATCACCTCTCGACCGAGGCGCCATTGTCAAACTCGTGAGCACTCGTGAATCGTGGTGCAAACCTGTGTAAAATCGCTGTTTTCCATGGGACGGTGTCACACGTTTATTATTAAAATCGCGTGGTAAACGATGACTTGATTGATTAGGATATATTAGGATGTACGAAAGTTTTCAAAATCTTGACGCACAGCACTGCGATTTTTAACTTGCTTGTAAAGATCACTTAAGTAAGGTCACTTGTCGCAAACAATTTTCATGTAAATCACTTTGAAATTTTATCGATGCTGTATTTAAAACTAGTCTGTATATTGTAAAAATTACGAAAATTTAGCAGTGATTAGATTCGTAGTTATTGCTTCTGAGCAAGCTTGCTCGTTAACCCATTAGTTTTCGCTGGGAAACGAAACTGCTTCGCATCCGACACGCGAAATAGCGCAAACG